TTTGAGCAGCCGATATAGCATGGCTTGTTTGTAAAAATTTTTCCTAAATTCTTTGAAATAGTTTTTGTTTGGTGCTCTATCAAATATGGAAGATCGAAAACATCATATTCGGCATATTTTACTGCTTTATTATCAAAAAGGTAAAAATGCACTTCAAGTAAGGCGAAAATTATGTGATGTGTAAGGAGAAGATGTGTTTACCGAACGACAATGCCAAAATTGGTTTGCGAAATTTCGTTCCGGCAATTACGATAATGAGGATACACCACGTCCTGGAAGGCATCTTGAAGCCGCTGTGAATAAAATATGTTAAAGTCGTTGGTCGATGCAAATCGTCGAATAACAACTCGAGAGATTGAAAAGTCTAGGATTAATATCGATATGAGTTCCTCATGTTCTTTTTGAAGCGCATTGTTACTGGCGACGAAAAATGAGTTGTTTACAATAATGTGAAGCGCATGAAGAAATCATGGTCTAAAAAGGATGAACCAGTTCAAACCACTTCGAAGGCCGATAGTCACCAAAACAATGTTATGTTGTCTGTTTCAAAAGAATCGATTATTATGAGCTTTTACAAATTGAGTGATTCACTCAAACAAAAGAGTAAGTTTTTATCAGCATAAAGTGAGACTTCATACAAGTTTGATGTTTCGCCAAAAGGTTTTGCAGCTTGAATGGGATATGCTACCACACCCACCATTTTTTCGATGGATCGATAAGAGAACCTTCACGTCAAATTAAGACGTAAAAAACCTCTTAGAACAGTTTTTTGTCTGCAAGGATCAAACATTTTGTAAGCGTGTAATTAATCCCTTGCCCGAAAGATGGCAAAAGGTATTGGATCAAAATAAAGAATATATAATTTCATAAAATGTTTTACAGAATAAAAAAATTGTGTTTAAATTGCACTAAAAAAACGAAATTACTTAGTGAACGACCAATAAAATTTGTTCATACTAAAACTTCTCAACGTTAGATAAGATAGAAAAAGTTTACTCGGGTCAAATGTCAAAAACTGGCTTTTTCGCGATATAAAACTTTTGACTGAATTATCAGTAATATTTTCAAAATGTCTAAATGTAATCAGTTACCTTGAATCTTTGCAACCATATAATGTATGTAAATATACGTAGTATGTTTATATAAAACATATATATATTATAATTTTATACAAACAGTTGATGTCAAAAACACTACACATTTGCATCAATATTTATTTTCCAATTGCAAATTTAGCTGCTCTTATTTAATTGTATGAAAGGTTTTATAGAACCATTTAATCCACTGTTTAACCTCAGTGGTTTTCGAACGCTTTTACGCCACCGTTAAGAAAATAATTTTTTAATACTTAATAATTCCGTTTATTGCTGATAAATATTGAAACAGCAGTGTAATTATTAAAACAGATAACAGATTGGCTACAATTCTTCAGAATATTTTTCAAGGATTCAATAACCTACATATATAAGTACATATGTATGTATAAAGTAAATTAATGATGAGTCTTGCCGTAATTGAGTATGCTTATGACAGTCACATTACTAATAAGATCAATAATTGAAAAAAATAATAAGTTGGATGATAGTACCTATAAGACAAATGTTCAAAATACTACAAAAGTCTAAGGCCACTTTAAGTTTAAAATTACGTGTGCAAATACTTGAGCATACTTTAATGCAAAATAATATTTTAAAGTGTTGTACCGCTCGCTGTTATTTTTTATTATATAGCTATATGTATTGTAAAATTTAAAAAATAATATCACTAAAAAGCTTTAATAAAATACTAAGTCAGCGCTTCAGCGGCTTTTGACCTTGATATCGATCCCTGTAAGTTACGGGAACGAATTATTGTATAAAATTATGCCTGTCAATGGAACGAATGGAGCTAAAATTAATAAGTACAAAATGTTTACCAAGTATTGCACTAGAGTTCACAATGAACGATTAAAATTATACAAATTAAAAAAAATTAAACTCTGAAACAAAGCAAGTTCAACGAATACTGGAGTAGTTTTCTTTACACAGTTCATGGATTCACACCATGATCTTCTACTTGCCTGGCAACTGTATGTATTATGCGTAACTGCTAACGTTTGTACTATCCCTACAAGAACAGTGACAGTCATCACAGCTGAAAAGATTTTGTCAGCGCGCAGAACAATGTTTCTATCATTTTCTTGAGAGCCTTGTACAAAAACTGATGTAAACAAACGCATGTGTGTGAGTTTGCATCTCTCTTTAACACATAGGTATTCGGAATTGATTCACTATATATCTATACTGTTCACTCTCATGTCTTTTTCTGAGACATTGCTGACCATAAATCCATCATAACTGAAAATTGTCAGTTATGACTGAAACGCTATCACAAGTAAAAAAATGTTTTGCGCAGTAGATAATATATTTTTTATTTCTTTAATAAATTCCAAACTTTTAAATAAATTGGTTATAATAATATACATAAATATAAAAAAGAGAGTGTAACAAAAATATAATTAAATAATAAATTATGAAAAGAAATTTTCACTTAATTCCATGCTTGTTCCTGCTCAAAAGCTCTGCTGTACGTATTTCTCCAGTTCATGAACATTTAGAAATTTAAAAATGTATAAATAAAAATGAAAATTAACTAAAGATATAATTTTATTTGAAACTTAATAACTTACGTATATTATATATATTTGAAAACTCCTTCGTTATTTATTTGTTTTTTTAACACAAAAAGAGTTTTTGCACAGGAGCACAAAACACTTTTGGTTTATCGCACGAAATAACACCTATAGATGAATGTAGGTATTTCACAACTTCTCGAAACTTCTTTGAAAATGCAGTCTCTTTTCGACGTATACAGAATTTGCTTTTGGAAAAATCGTTAATATTGACAGTCATTTTACTGTTCATATGACTGCCAGTACTGACATAATATATGTGAATGTGTTGGTGAACCCATCAGCAGTTTCTTGCAGGGATACTTTTATTATACATACATATGCAAATAGATAGTATATATGAACTTAAATACTTTTGCGTATCGCTACCCCACGAATCGCCGCAGAACGCTTTTCAATATAATCGGAGAATTGTAAGTAAGTACACTCTGTAACATTACTATTTACAACCCTATATATGTATGTATGTATGTTGATAGCACAGTTTAAGAAATAACTTTGTAACAGCAACATTTAGAAAAGTTAAGCGCACTGCATTTTATTAACTTCATTATAATGAAGAAAATAACTATATTTCTAAGGATCTGTTTTTAAAATAAATTAAATCAATATAATTCACGATAGAGATTGCATTGCAACAAAATTATTCACATCATCTCATTAATACCGCGTATGTCCTCCTTTTGTTTTAATTATGGCTTCACAGGGCCTAAGCGTTGATTTCACGAGTTTTTTTAAGAAGTCCGATGAAATATTGCTCCACTCCCGAAGTATAATTTGTTTCAGATGAGCAATATTTAATGACGTTTGTTTTGCAACTTCTTTTTTCAAATGATTCGCTTTTGTCAAAGCCGCTGGGTGACAGATTTGGGTATATGTTTCGGATTTTCACCATGTAGAACCGTAAATGATTCTGAAAGGCCCATATCGTTCACACTTGAGACGAGTTGTTGTTCATAATACCATCTATAAATTTGGTTAACTTAAAATTTCACCTCTGCTATGTTTTACCGTAGGGGGCAAGCAGTCCGCCTCCGCCTTGCTTCTTCCAGGTCTTTAATGCTGTCAGAGTCTAATAACATGATTTTGGTTTCATCAGACCAAGTTATTTTTTTCCATTCCATTTTCTCAAAGTCCACGTGGCTTTTTTTCGTGCCCATTTAAGCTTAAGTTTTTGATGTTTTTCAAAACAAAAGGCTCTCTAATAGGGGTTTTCCATTATATCCAGCAGATCTAATACGACTTGGCAATCTGGCTTGAAATATCAATGTCATATGCAAAATTTACCTCAGCTTCATAACACTTGCTACAGTATTCCGGTTTGATTTCAGTACACATTTAACATTCCAACGTGATAGAAAGTTTCAACATAACTGAATTGGGTTACTTAATGAAAAGATAATAATATATATCGCATAAACGAATTGTAATCTGGAACTCAACTCCTAAGATTTTGCTTTTGCTATGTTTAAACATAGTAAATAAGATGTATAATTTTTAATTTTCTAATAACTTTTTTCCAGAATTTACGTATGTGGTTTGAGGCGTGTATAATTATGTTGCATAGTGTGTATGTACAAATGTACAAATATAAACATTAACGATCTCTGCTGTATTTGCTTACAAAAATTTGTAATAATATAGAGTAGTAACCAGTTGGATGAACTTATTAAATCTAAAGGTATATTCTTTTTACTAACATGCACACATATTACTTATCCATTTGCTATGGAAGCACTTAACGGAATTCAAAGTATTCTATAGTATGTGCTGCTAAGTCTCTTTACTGTATATTTGGGTGTAGGTCTATGTATGTACATACATATATTCATATATATACATATGTATATCAATTTTTACGATATGCAAGTATAGGTATGTATAGATATGCATAAATAATTATTTGTGTGGTTATGTGCCTGCATACACGTGCCACATTATATGATTCATTCAGATAAATAGAGGATACAAATGCAAAGTAATATTTCAATTAAAATAAGAATAGTCATATCAATTAATTACAACACATTATAACACATAAACTATGGCATCTGATCAAAACTTCCCATACTTGCTATGTAGACACATATGTAAATATGTATGCATATATTTGTTTTGTTGAAAATGCTCAGCAATGTATTTCTTTTGTTTCATCAAATAAGAATTTATTGCCATATACATTATTTTACATTCAACACTGTCTGGGCGGCCAAGAAGCACATCCCATAGCTAAGAACAGCTTTTTACACATTTTTATAGATCAACTGCACGTTTTCTTTAACTTTACTAGTCATGATATTAAGCATTTGTCCCTGCAAATTATACTTACGTCGCGTAGGTATTGATGCTAACGAATGTGTACTCCACAAATATCACTGCACTTTTTCACAATATTTCGACCAACTTGGAAAACAAGGAAATGCAATTTTACTAAAATTTTGGAAAGAGGAAATATGAAAATTTCGTTCACTTCAGTGGCAACGCAGAATGCTCCAAAATAAAGCAATGAAAATGCTTCACTCTTTTAAACCACTTGAATAGAAAAATGCAAACAAGAAAATGTCCCTATAATTAAATCTTTTGAGTGTTGAGTGCAATAATAATCGTAATAAAAGTACAGGTAGACAACGGACGCGGACGAGTTGGCCGATGGTGGCGGTGATTCGTTGTCGGCACCAATATCAACGACTGCGAAGGCGATGACAGTTAGCAAAGTACTAACTGGTGGCACTGGTGTAACCAGCAGTGGAGGTATGACATTAACGCGGCATTTGCTGTCAGCTGTCACTGCTGTTGCTTCGAGAGTGCGCGAAAATTTCTCACAAGAGAGCTGCAAAAGAAAAAATACATACTTACATATAGTATAAGTACGTAAGTACATATATTCGAGTCACTTTGATAACGTTATGATTCTGTTTGTTTTTGTACAGGAATATTTGTGTATGAATATTTGTACTTGAAACCGGCATACATATATACATATCTACATATTTATTAAAAAATACCTATACATATACCTATGTGTAAGCAACTTGGTATTTTTTTTGGATAACTTATACTCTTACAACATGTTGCTACAGAGTATAATAGTTTTGTTCAACAAACGGTTGTTTGTATCACCTTAAACTAATCGATACTAATTAGATACATAGATATAGGGTTATATAAATAATCAGGATGACGAGACGAGTTTAAACCCGGATATCTAAAAATTGAGACGACCTAATAGGTTTATCGTTTATATATCCTAAACCATTCAAGTTATAACAACCATATTTGCACAGGATAAATCCTTTCGACACCTTTCGACAGTGTGAAAATAGGTTGACACTATCACCTGCGAGGTCTAGTAATGAAATTCGGGGAGAATATTTTTGTGATAACAGCATATATTGTGTCAAAAATTGCTCAAATCGGGTCTATATTTCCCTTAGGTCCAATATACCTAATAGAAACATTTTCGGGTGACTTTATTTCCCATATATCAGCCAATATGTGAGTTATCTTAACTAAATTGTGTGAGCGTATTTTTCTCCTAACGATGCATCTCTGTGCACATAATGGATAAATACCCTATACTGATGTTCAAGATTTTGAAACGTCCGGCTGAATTTACTCCATAGTATGTGAGGTACCTTGATGAAACTTAGAAATCATCTTCTTTTGTTAATAATATGTGGTATTGCCAATATTAAATAAAATCAGGTCAATATTTTTCCCTTATTTCCCATATACTTATGTACCTAATAAAATATTTTGAACATTCCTTTTCCTTTATACCGTTTATATCAGTCAACATATAAGATATCTTAGCAAAATTAACTAAGCGTATAATAATGGATATACATATGTACTATAGTTTCATGCCGAAAATATGTGAATTGTCATCTACGAATTACACCTATTTACTACATATGTATAATGATTTTCGTTATTCTAACAAACCATAAGCTTATATTTCGGTCAGTGTATGAGTTATATATTTAACTATAAACTGCTTCAAAATGTGGTCTCAAGTATTCCTAAGCAGTGTAAAAAATTAGTGCAATATACCATATACCTATAGTGATTTTCTCCTTTTTACCTGACTTTGAATCGTTTAGGTTGGTCAAACGACATTATAATTAAATGGACAAGTTTTCTTATAAATTATTTGGCTTACGGGTTAATATAAATGGAATTGGATTAGACCTTGGTCCAATCCTCATATCTCGAATAAATTGAATTCCGATCCTCTAGTTGACGTTTTCCACATCAACACAATATATCAAATTCTACCTTTTGGGTTGAGCTTATGTCAAATATATCTCATTTAATATAATTTTCGCTGACGACAGGTAAAATATACTTATAATAATAATTGAATCTATGACCTATAATAAGTTAGTTAATATTTCGTCGAACAATGATTGTTGAATTTTTTCGCACTAATTTTTAATATAAAGTTTTCCAACAAGAATATAAAATTTTCGGTTACACCCGATTTTAGTTCTCCCTTACTTGTTTTACGAATACTTGATTAAACACCCTTTAGGAATGTAAGAACATTTGTAAATTTGGTAACAAATTATTAAAACTTTAGTTTTTCCACTAAACCAAATCCGTATGCGGTCTACAACTGAAGCAGTTATATACAAGATGGACAAAAAAGTTATTTAGAGAACAAGTAGACAAACAGCGATTTTATATTTTTTATATCACTATGCATACATATACATATGTATTCCACTTGGTTATTTTGACGCTACTGTAACCTAGAGCGGGCATTTGTGAAATATTCTGCATTTTCTCGCGAAAAACATTGTTCAATATTTTTGGTCCATTGAGCATAGTTCAATGTTTCGAAGGGGTTTAACTTTTTACTGTACTATCAGTAACCTTTGGTGAATTCAAGGCGTTATTTACTTTAGGATCACAGCCAGTTTACATGCCTCTTTAAGTGGAAATGTACCTGATTAGAGAAACCATTTGAATTAATTTGGTGGACCTTTACCAGAGAATGTTGAAGAGTAGAGAAGGAGCAAATGTTAAATGAAAACTTTTTGAGTACTAATTTGTAATTCCACATGAAGGAACATCGAAAAATATAACTTCGAAAAAGAAAAATACACCACACAATGTGCGAAATGCTATAAATAGACACAACGTATATTCCTAAATGAAAAAACGTTGCGCATACCTATTTAGATTTATGTTTTCAATTTCTATGAACAGAGAGAGATTGTTACATGGGAAGTAAGCGTGGTTGTAGTCCGATTTCGCCCTATGACATAGAAACATGAAAAGAACGTTATGCACCGAATTTGGTTGAAATCGGTTGATCAGATCTCAAGATATAGGTTTTCACCTAAAAGTGGGCTGTGCCACGCCCACTGACTAATTTTGAACGCGGTTCCTATAAAGCCAATTTATACCATCTCAGAGATAAAATTTAATGTCTCTGGCGTGTTTAGTGCTTGATTTATCGCGCTTTTAGTAGTTTTTAACAGTACCGTTATATGGGGAGTGGGCGGAGTTGCCACCCGATTTCAACTATTTTCACACCGTCGATAGAAGTGCTAAAAACATTTTCTTCTAGTGAATTTTGTTATTATAGCATTAGCGGTTTAGGAGATATGCACATTAAACCTATTATAGGCGGGACCACGCCCACTTTTTTAAAAAAAGTTTTAACTGCAGATGCCCCTCCCTAATGTGATCCTGTGTACCAAATAACAGTCTTATATCTTATTGCGGAGCTTAGTTATGGCAAGTTATTTGTTTTTGATTAATGGCGTTTTGTGGGCGTGACAGTGGCCCGATTACGCCCATCTGGG